CCCGACATAACAATACACAAATTGTATTCATTTAAACTCTTCCTGGCCATTAGCTCTAGCTTCTATCTGGCTAACTCTCATATCTTGATTAATCCATTACTATTAATGTGTGTAGCACCACGAGATTTTGGATTCCCGAGAAAGATCCCAACCTATGTCTGTATCGGGTATGAGTATCATGGCATCTGCCTGACTCTGCTTTCTTCCTCCCAGAATTCTGTTGTGTCTACTCCACCCACCTAAGGGCTGGCCTATCAAAGGCCAAGGCAGTTTCTTTATTAACCAATGAAAGTAACACATAGACAGATGACCCTCCTACATCACATGGGAAGAAAAAGACAATATCTCCTGAGTGAATTGGGAGCATGGGGACCATGGGAGAGGGTTGAAGGAAAGGAGAGAGGAAGCGAGGGGAACAGAGAAAAATGCATAGCTCTATATAATCAATTTTAAAACGTTTTAAAAAATTCACTGTATGTGCTGTCATTATGTCCTGACTCATTTTTTCAGCCCCAGGACCAAGCCCAATATCAACCTGTTCTAGTTCTGTGGGAATCACTCTTCCAGAGACAGGGAAGTTTGGAGGTAGGAGGGCTTGTTCCATAAAGTGACAGTGTACTCAGGTGACAGACCAGGCCAGTAGATCATAACATCAGTACCACGTAGAGCTGTTTTATGCACGTCAACAGTGAACACCAGAATTTCATTCTGGGCAAGCTGCCTTAATCCCAGATGTACAGGGAGAAGACTTGAAACTAATTCCTATTAGAAAACCCCGCAAGAGGTACAGGTGACAGCAGCATTGTCTGTAAACACAAGGGGGAAGCAAACCCCCAGATGCAGCAGTGACAAAGGAGACAAATGCATGGATTTGTGGAGAAGGTCCCTGGGTAACTGACTAGAAGACTCCCAGCCTCTCTATAGAATATGAGCTGTCTACAGCACTGGATGCATACAGGGGGACAGTGTAACAGGAATGGTGGACAGCTTGCTTTTAGTCTCTGGAGTGGTCTGTGCATAAGCAAGTCACCCTTATGTCAGCAATTCAGAGAACACAGTGTTTGGAAGTGGAACAAGAATTGAATTCTACTGCCCATGCGCCAGGACAGAAGCATTGCTCAATTGGCAGAGTTGTTTCTAAACACTATCTGTGAGCAAGGCCAGGCTAAGAACCTTCCCCTTAGACTTTGACCTAGTGGCAGGCAGCAAATCCCTTGGGAACACAGTCTGCTTTTGCTTTGAGAACTACTCTAGAAATTCAAGATTGTTTGAAAGTTGTTTGTTTAGGTGAAAACTTTTGGACTCCTTAGGATCAGCATATTTCTTTATAACTATTTCTAAACTCACATTTCCTGACTCTTTCAGAGAAAAGTCTTATCTGGAATACAAGTAAGTGTGCCTCATAATATTTGATCACTGAATGGTGTTCTCCAAGTAAATCATTGTCAGGGATTGTTGTTTCTTAATAGTGCAAGTACACGCCCTCCTGAGGGAACATATTTAACTCAGTCCTCCTTTGTCAGAAGAGCTCAGATTCTCAGCAGCTGGATTGCTTTGGGCTGAGCTTCTCAATGACTCCTGCCGGTTTCCCAGCCTCCCTTCCTCTGTGTGTGTGTCTGCTGCTGGCCTCTGGCTTTGCCCAGGCAGGCAGGCTGCTGGTGGTGCCCATGGATGGGAGCCACTGGTTCACCATGCAGTCGGTTGTGGAGAAGCTCATCCACAATGGACATGAGGTGGTGGTAGTCGTGCCAGAGGTGAGTTGGCAACTGGGAAAATCCCTGAATATTACTGTGAAGACGTACTCAATTTCTCATACTCTGGAAGATCTAGACCGAGTATTCAAGTATTTTTCTGATACTCAATGGAAAGCTCCAGAACAAAGTATGCTTTCTGCAATATTCGGCTCAGCCAAAGGTTTTTTTGAATTATTATTTACTAACTGTAGGAGTTTGTTTAACGACAAGAAGTTAGTGGAGTACTTGAAGCAGAGTTCTTTTGATGCTGTTTTTCTTGATCCTTTTGATGTGTGCGGCTTGACTATTGCCAAGTACTTGTCGGTCCCGTCCGTGGTCTTTGGAAGAATGATGTTTTGCCACTATCTCGAAGAGAGCACTCAGTGTCCCAGACCCCTCTCTTATGTTCCAAGACTTCTCTCGAAATTCTCAGACACCATGACTTTTATGGAGAGAGTGTGGAACCACATCACCTATATGGAGGGGCATGTAATTTGCCCCCATTTCTTCAAAACTGCTACAGATATTGCCTCTGAAGTTCTCCAGACCCCAGTGACTATGGAAGACCTCTTCAGTCAAGTGTCCATTTGGTTGTTACGCACTGACTTTGTATTTGAGTTCCCTGCACCTGTGATGCCCAACATGGTCTACATTGGTGGGATCAACTGCCATCAGGGAAAGCCACTTTCCAAGGTATGCTATCTCTCCTTAAGCACATGACGAGAGCCTTTGGTTTAGCCAAGAAAACATAAATTTTTTACTGAGCTGTGATTTATCATTTACCTCACTGCATATGGAATTTCTTCCCGGGTTAGAGAATTATTTTGTGCAAAGTCACTAATTAGGAAACAAATCTATATTGGTGCCCTATTGATATGGCTGTGTAAACCTTTGAGGATATCGCATATACATTCAAAGTTACAAAGTAAGTTTAACTCTTTTTGTTTGCCATTCTCTGTGTGCATAGCAAGGTCATAAAATTAGAAAGGGACAAAGAAAATTTTCCTTAGAAGAAACAAACCCAGTAAGTAATGATAGACATTCCTCATGAAGACAGAAAGGGGGATGTGCAGGGGTAGGAAGAGGGCATCCGGAGGGCAAGGCAGGGTAGCGGGAGAGCAGAATAAACAGAAAAGACAACGTCTGAAAAATGCCAGAATACCACTGAATACTCTGTATGACAACTTTAAAAAATGTTTTAAAGTGACAAATACTTTCAATGTACATTTTACCGATTTTTGGAGATGTTTTAAAAAAATGCATCAAGCATTGAAGCTGTCATCATTTTCTGTCGGCTGCACTCTATAGGAGTGCACAAGCAGCTTTTCCGCATTTCTGGAATCACTGATACAATATGGAGAATGCAGAGAGGATGGATTTCTCAAAGGAAATAAAATGTAAATGAGAGAAAAGAAAACTACCATATAAAATGGGACAATACAAGCCAACAGAAAAGTAAGAGTGCCAAGGCAAGGGACAAGAATCAGAGACTCACTTGTTAGCACTTTTAGGAGTCCCACAGAGGTACTACATGGGAGCCAGGAGGTAGTGGTGCATGCCTTTAATCCCAGCACTTGGGAGGCAGAGGTAGGTGGATATCTGTGGATTCGTGTCTAGTAGGCCTACCAGAACTAGTTCCAGGACATCTAGGACTGTTAAACAGAGAAACACTGTCTCGAGAAACCAAAATAAATAAATAAATGAAACAAAAAATAAAAAAATTAAAAAAGAATAAATATACAAATAAATAAATGAATAAACAAACAAATGACTAGACTGGAAGCTATGGTGTCTGTTCAGGATGGTACAGGTCCAGCAGGCCCTGTTCAGACTCCTTTAGCCTCATCAGTTCATATGAGCTTTGCTGAGTGATTTAGTAGGCCTTGTTCTTTGGGGGTCCTCCATTCCTTCTTTCTCCCCAACTTCTTCAGCCTCTCTTCCATGAGGTTCCCTGAGCTCTGACTGGAGGGATTGGGTGGAGACATCTCACTGAGAGCTGTGTGTTCCAAGGTCTCTCTATGTAGTGTCGTGCTGTGGGTCTCTGTTTTCGCTCTCATCTGTTACATGAGGGATCTTCTCTGTTGATGGCTGACTAAGCTACTGACCCATGAGTACAGCAGAATGTCATTATGAGTCATTTCATTGTTACTTCCCCCGAACTAAGA